GAGCCTGCTAAGTACCCCAAAGGCCCTAGAGTAGTATCTGGTTCTTGGATGCACCCCACTTGTTATCTGGCAGCACTACAGGTTTTCCAGTGGTCAAAGCCTTTCTCTTTCTCCCTTTTCTTTCTTTAAGGCCAAGAAACAAACAAAAAAGAAACAGGAGCTGGAGAAGCAAAAGGCAGAGAAAGAACTCTCCAAGCTGGAAGCTGCCTTGATGGATCCCAAGCGACAGCCGCAGACAGCAGATGACTTTGACCGCTTGGTCCTCGGCAGTCCTAACAGCTCCATCCTTTGGTTGCAATTCATGGCTTTTCATCTCCAAGCTACAGAGATCGAAAAAGCTAGAGCTGTTGCAGAAAGGGCACTAAAAACTATCTCCTTTAGGTGACTTTTGTTTTTTATTGATCTTCAGTTTCTTTGGTAACAGTTCATATCCATGCTATACTTTGCTAGGTGGATCTTAAAATAAGATACTTGCAGCGTAAAGGGAACATGCAACTTTTCTCTCTTACCTTTCTCCAAAAACACATTCAGTATAAACTAGCCACAAACAAATTAAGAAGAATAGCAGCATCAAAAGCAAAATCAAGAGCTTTGATCTTTGTACTGAATGTTGCCTTCTTTCCTCTTCAGAGAGGAACAAGAAAAGATGAATGTATGGGTCGCTTTGCTGAACCTGGAGAACATGTATGGCACAGAGGAAGGACTGATGAAAGTTTTTGAAAGAGCAGTTCAGTACAATGAGCCTCTGAAGGTTTTTCAGCAGTTGGCAGACATCTACAGCGCGTCTGAGAAATATAAGGTGATGCCAATTATAGCAGCATGATAAAGAGAATGATCGCTTTTATTCATCTGTGTGTGTATGACAGGAAGAATATTTGTTTGATTTCAAGAAAGAATGCACCTAGTCTGCTGTAGCTTGTCCTAGACTTCCCTTAACGTTTTGGACTTGTGGATATTGCCTCTGCTTGGAGCAGCAGATGTCTTATCTCTGTGTGGCTCTTTTCAGTGTCAGATTATTGCTCTTGTCTGGATTATTGAATGCAAAATCCACTCTTAGGACCTATGAAATCTATATTCTAAAATTGCAGAATTGGCCGTTGACGATGAAGAAACAGGACATATAGTTGTATATTTAGCTTGTGTTCAGTGAAGCACCTTGTTGAATAAGGTACAAAGGCTTAATGTATATTTTTTATTTTTCTAAATATGAGAGAAGATTTACCCTTCAACTCTTTAGTATTGAATTTAGAATTTCTGGTCAGATTGTAGAATAGCAGTTAGCATTCTGAGCCTATGTTGAATCATTAAAGCCCGGGGAACATTATTATAGCATAGAACTTTTAAGGCTGAAATAAAACAGAAGGTAGCTGTTTTCAAGTCATGTCTGTTTAGCTTCATCCCCACATAAATATCTAAATCTAGCACAAAAGTAGCTACTAGCCATTTCTATAATTATTGGAAGATAGGATAGGAAAAACAGGGGTATTGGTAGTATATTTGTGAGAGCAAGAGCTAGATTGGCCTTTGTAATTTTGAAGCTATGTAAATAAAAACATTTTGCATATTTAGGATGATTCTTTATCTTTTTCTTGATCTGTTCAGGAAGCTGATGACCTATATAATACAATGCTGAAACGCTTCCGTCAAGAAAAGTCTGTGTGGGTAAAGTACACCACTTTTCTTCTGAAACGTGGTTCGGTGGAGGCAGCTCACAGACTGATGCCACGGGCACTGAAATGCTTGCCAGACAAAGAGCGTAAGAGTTCTTTGGTTTCCTTTTTTCTTGAATAGTGCTGTCTATATTTTCCTCATTGGACTTTAATTTAGATTAATATCTGTGTTATCTGTATTGTAACCATTCTTATCTTCATCTCTTTCAGTCATTTTCTTCCATTTCCATTTTTTCACCTTCATTTCTTAATATATTATTTTTTCTTTCATGCCAATAGACAAAAACAAATTCAGCATCACAAGGAACAGTGCATATTTTACAAAAGATTAGACCTTTCCACCTTGTTTGTTAGTCTGCTCTGAAAATTCTTTTAGTGAGGATGTAGCTAACCATATATTTCTAAATAATAGTTATACCTTCAAACTTCAGGCAGAATTAATAATGACTGCTGGAAATAATCCTTTAAATAATCCTTGCTTCTTTTTTGGTCGCAGATGTGGATGTGATTTCAAAGCTGGCACAGTTAGAATTTCAGTTTGGTGATGCAGAACACGGCAAGGCCATGTTTGAAAACATGCTGAGCACATACCCTAAACGTACAGACATCTGGTCAGTGTACATAGACATAATGATAAAACATGGAAACCAAAAAGAAGTCCGGTGAGTACTAATGTCAGGCCTGGAAGCCATCTTTTGCACTAGGCTTTCCCAGTTTACTACTGTGGGAAACTGGGAGGGGGATTGTATGGAGCCGGGGTGATATATAGTCATAATGTCAGCATTCCAGAAAGCCCCACGCTGCCACATTTCTTTCCCAGAAAGTCAAGGACAAATTGCCCTGTACCTGGAAGGCTGGACTTGGGAGGCATCTCCAGTTGAGACGATGTGTGATTGGACCATGTGATGGACTTGTGGGTGTTGGGCAGGGACTTGAACTTTTCTTTGGGTGGGGAAAACCTGGGAACTTTCAGATTCAGGTTTTCCCAGATGTGCCAATATGACATCTCTAATAAAATGTAACTTTGAGGAAACTCAAGCCTCAGAGTTTTCTTTCGTTGGGGGTGTTACTTGGAACCCTGACAACTAACATATGTAGGAAGGTTAGAATTCTTAATTTCCAGCAAAGATGCAAATGTAAGCTTGGGAATGTGTATTAACTTAAAACTAAAGCAAGCAGAGTGACTTGATTTTGGAAAGGAAACATTATTAACACTTAACACTGAGAAACCTAAGGAAATTGCTCTAGAAATATATTCTAGAAGTATATCTCCTATACATAGGAGAAAGCAAGCTAACAATTTTAGTCATTTTAAATAGAAAAGGTTCATAAAATATCAGATTAAAACTGTTTTCTGAACATTATTTTGGGTTTTTCACAGGGATATTTTTGAAAGAGTGATTCACCTAAATTTAACAGCAAAGAAGATGAAGTTTTTCTTTAAACGCTATCTGGAGTATGAGAAGAAGTATGGCACAGTGGAAACCATCCAGGCTGTGAAGGCAGCAGCATTGGAGTATGTGGAATCCAAGAACAGCCTTGCTGAGAGCTAACCTTTGCGGTAGACAGACTTCGGGGTCTTGCTTTTAAACCCAGTATGTTGAGAAGGGAAGTGGACATGCCTCATCTGTAGTACAAAAAGCCTTCCTGCTTTTTTGCATTTCCCAACGAGCTCAATAACAGATTGGAATAGCCAGGACCAGAGATTAACAGTGTAAGTGATGTAAATGTTTTACACCTTTTATATCCCCCCAAATTCAAATAAAATAATTATATAATTATTTGTCTTTGATTCTTTTTAAAATATGCAATTCATAATTGGGAGAAAGCAACCAGCTGCTTGGTTACAGTAGTAAATAAATAGTTCTTCCTTCCCTAAAATATTTTGTATTCTATCCAAGTATAGGCTTAGAGGATAATAACAGCACTGCTTTCTAAGCATCATTTAAAATATATTAAAGACTTAAAGACTAAATTAAAGGGTTGTTGTCTGCAGGACCAAGGTTCTGCAATTCCATTTAATTAGCCTCATCATCATAGCTTATGTATAAAATACTCAGTTTTTATTTTATACACCCTATCTCAGTGATGGCTAACCTTTTTGCCATTGCGTGCCAAAAGCGAGGGGGTCGCAGGTGGAGGGGGCGTGGACGTGCCAGCCCACACCCATAATTCTATGTGCCCCGTCCCCCACGCATGTGTACGCGACCCCCCGCGCTCCACCTGCTTTTGGCACGTGATGGGACGGTGGGCCCAGTAGGCCCGTTTTTTGCCCTTCCCAGGCTCCAGAGGCTTTCTAAAAAGTTGACAAACGGGCCGTTTCCGGCCTCTGGAAGGCCTCCAGGTGGGTGGGGAAGGCCGTTTTTGCCCTCCCCAGGCTCCTAGAAAGCCTCTGGAACCTGGGGAGAGAGAAAAATGGGCGTTTCCCCCCCCCCACACACAGGCCCTCCGGAGGCAGGAAACAACCTGTTTCCCTACTTCCGGTGGGCCCAGAAGGCCCGAAAATCAGCCGGCCAGTGCGCACATGCACCCCGGAGCTGAGTTCGCGTGCCCACTGGTATGGCTCTGCGTGCCACCTGTGGCACGCGTGCCATAGGTTCGCCATCACGGCCCTATCCTGTTCTACATCTGCTATTCACAGAATTCTGAACTTCTTATAAATAAGCTAAAAATATCAATGTTAAATATACAGTTTCTAAACAATAAGCAGTTTCCATACATTTTTCCATCTGTTATTTTACAACCCAGTATTCGTGATCCATTCTCCTATAGAAGACTATAGTCATTGCCTAAAAAATTGGCAGTATCATGGCATTTGCATAGTAACAGTGCAAATGTGATGCACTGCCAGGAAAATAGCCATAATTTGTTCTTTTGCACTTAATTCCAGTAAGTGACAGTCATGCGCCTTGGAGGAAAATGGCAGGGCATGTATATTTTGGCATATGATATTTGAACAGATTCTTATTTGTTTGTTTTATAACCTGCTTTTTCTTTAGGAATTGAAAGCTGTGTATGTAGTATGGCCTCCTTCCATTTTTGCCTACATCAACAACTCTATAAAGTTGGTTGGGTTTAGAGTTACTGGCTCAAAATTACCCACTCAGTTAGTATGCCTGAGGTGGGGGGTCTCCCCAGTTCTAACCCAATATTTGACCATTATACCACCATTGATTCTGTCTTGCCATCCAATTCTGTAATTTTTCATATTTTAATCACTGATAATCCCACATACATCCCACAATATCTTTAAAGGCCAAAGTGATTGTTAATAACTACTATGATTTCTAGCATTTAGCAGTGTTAATTTTAAGATTGAGACAACAAATCAACCTTTCAGTATTTAAAATTTTACTTTCATTAACAAATCGATCAAATGTATACAAAAAAGAAAGATCTTAAAGACCAAGAGAAATTAGAGCAGATTTTACAAATAAAATATTTCGCCAACTTAGTGTGGCTTTTGTCTTTAGCAACTGGACTTACAAATGAGACACAAAACAATTAGGAGAATTTTTCCTCTTTCACCTGAAAAGGACATAATGTTTATTTGTAGGCAGTATTTCAAACTGATTTGAAAGATACTATTAGTCCTTAATTTACGACTATAATTGAGTCCAGAACTATGGTGGTAAAGTGATTGTGCCCAATTTTACAAACTTTTTGTGGCAGTTGTTAAGCAAATGCTACAGTAACTAAGCAAATTCAGCCCTTAAGCAAACATGTCAGTCATTAAGCAAACCCATTTTAGCCCATGAGCATTTATTTTGCTGGAAACCAGAAATAAATACCAGTTTCTGGCAAAAAACATTTTTTAAGTAGAACACAGTTGCACGAGCTCCGGACACTACAAACAGTTGTAAATGTGGGCTGGTTGCCGAACATCCAAAATGAGATTTGTGAGCACAGGGAGGGCCCAGCCATCAAAACTTCAAACCCAAATCATAAGTAACCCTGAGGATGGTCTGTTGTTACTTTGAATAATTGCTAAGCAATCAGTCATAAATCAAGGACCAAATGTACATGTTTGTCTATTAGCATATTTTCTGAAATTATACATTGATAAATAACTTCCTGTTCAATTGGACAGATAAATGATCTCCTCCCAATATTATTTGGTATCAGACTGTTAAGCTGTAATTTTATATAAGAATATATCCTACTGAGCTTCATAGGCCTTATTTCTGATGAGGCAGCATCAATAGATTTGTAATCATGTGACATAATTCATTTGAAATATATCAGCTATACACTTTCTAAGACTTTAGTCAAAGTATAAAATCAAGTCTTGGATGCTTTCCAGCGCAGCTGTCTTAAGTGCTCAAAATGATTTTTCTTAAACTTGTAGGACAGTTGTTGAATAGATGCAGGTAGTCCTCAACTTACGACCACAATTGAGCCCAACATTTCTGTTGCTATGCGAGACAGTTGTTAAGTGAATTTTGCCCCATTTTACAACCTTTCTTCCACAGTTGTTAAGTGAGCAACACGGTTATTAAGTTAATGTGGCTTCCTTGTTGATTCTGCTTGTCAGAATGTCTCAAAAAGTGATGATCACATGACGCTAGGACACTGCAACCGTCATAAATACATGCCAGTTGCCAAGCATCTGAATTTTGATCATGTGACCATGGGGAAGTTGCAACAGTCATAAGTATGAAAAACGGTCATAAATCACTTTTTTCAATGCCGTTGTAAATTTAAAAGGTCACTAAACGAATAGTTTAAGTTGAGGATTACCTATATTAAGTAGCTAGGAAGGCTGTTTCCTGGCTATCAGGATTAGAGCAGTTTCCCATTATATTTTTGGCCCACTTATGGAGGCGGCTATAGAGAGGGTAGCCATTATTCTCTCGATAGATGTAAACTCCAGTGATGGCATCCCATTGTGACCGGGGCTGAACATTTTGCACATTATATGCTTGGATCAGTTCCTGGTCCTCTTTATCTAAATGTACAAAGCCAAAGAAGTTTTTGACGTTATTGGCAGCCACAATCTTAGAATGTACCTCAGCAGTCCGTTCGAACAGCCTAGCTTCACTAGAGCGGTATTGGTTCCAGTAGGCCTCTTGGCGGTAGCTGAGTGGTGAGCAGCAATGCTTTAGGCACTTGGTGATGAACACAAGAACTGCAACCCCACCAATGAGCATCCATCCAAAGAGCTGAAGAGAAAGAAAATAGAGATAGAACACGGCTTGGCTTGGTTTGATTTTTAACAAGTTTGATTTTTAAAAAGCCTACCTTTATTTTATTTCTTTGAAGTAAAAATTGGACTCCAAAGTATAATTGAAAACTCTATTCAAGTTCAGTTACATTTGTAAATGGATAATGGTAAAAGCTGTAATTATAGTGGAATTTCATTTTTTCCACCTTGAAACTGGTTAATAATTGCAATGTTTGTGTTTAACTGGTAGTTGAGGATTTTTATGGATTAAATATCTGAAACTAATCAGGTTTTTTTGTGTGGACTTCCATGCAACCAACGGATTCCACAGTTTCCTGAGCACTCATACTTGCTCTGGAGGCTATTAAGATTTAGGAGATATTTCACAAACTGCATTAAAAACATTTGGTAAAATAAAAATGTTCCGATATATAACCATATTTGTCTTGCAATGAAGAATAGGATCTACCAAACTATCCTGTTTAAGCAGGCTTTTCTACAAGGGATATGCTATGGAAGATTTTTATTGTTATTCTTTGGTTTTTACTGTGGACTAGGCCAACATTCAGTTTTTGTTACTTTTTTCATTTTGATGACTTGTTTGTAGCATGCCATGTTCTTAATCTGAATTAGTAAGTATTGGAGTTAATGTTTGGATTTTGTTTTATGATTATAGTACAGTCATACATTGATTCTCAACTGCTTCAAAACTTGTCAAATTTGGTATTCGACGCATTTTGAAGCAGAAATCATGTCCCACCATTTGTCTTTCATCCAGTAGTCGACATGCAAAGAAGAACTTGCTGATCATGACTTGCTATTTCTTCTGGCCAAAATAGCAGGTTATGTGATAAGTCACGTAGTTTTCTCGGTACTCTGTTTTAGTATTCAATGTGACTTCCAGAATGAATTACTAATGAGGACCGAGTACCACTGTATATTATAATATAGTACATTATATATATATGTAAATAAATTAATACGATGTTTCCCTGAAAATATGACCTACCCTGAAAACAAGCCCTAGCCCAATTTTCACGTCTGCACCTAATACAAGCCTACCCCAAAAATAAGAATGCCCTCAGGCTCATTGCGCTGGTGCCGATGCTGCCACTCGCGTGTGCAATGACACAACACACCACACAGCCTCCTGCAAGCGGCAGCACTGGCGCAACGGGCCCCATGGCATCCTACCATGAGCAGCGGAAATGGCATGATGAGCCATGCAGCATCTGGCCTCGAGCAGTTGCAAAAAAAGTTGGGCAGCAGTGTGACAGGTGTTGGTGCATGGGAGGCGTGGCTGCAGTAGTCCTAAGGTAAGCAGGTAAGACATGACCTGAAAATAAGTTAGGGTGCTTATTTTGGGGCCGAAAAGAAATAAGATCCAGTCTTATTTTCGGGGAAACATGCTATTTTATATGAATAAATAAATTACCTGTGACTCGTATCTTAATCGTCTTGTAACTTCATCCTTAAAATGTGTCATGTTGGCTGGCTGATCTTCACAAGGAAACCTGGCCAGGATATCTGGTCCATAGCCAGGTGGAAAATGATCCAGGGAAGTGGGATCTATGAATTCACTTAAGGCACAGACATAGGCTTCTCCACGAAGCAGTGAGATCACTGACCATGTGATAGGAGCCACTGCAGCTCTTCCCATGACAGATCCAAAGATCAAGAAATTTGCTGCTGCAGAAAAGTTCTTGGTTCCTCGCTTGTGACACTCGGCCACTAAGTTCCAAGTGTGGTTGTTCCAGATTACACCGATCACAAACAAGGCCAGAGCAGGCACTCCTATGGCAGCTAGACCGTAGATGTAATTCCGAGTTGGGGAACATGGACAGTGGAATGCAACCACCGAGAACAGTTCCTGGCTTCCAACAGTACCCAGAGCCACCAAGCCATTGAAAATCATCACATCTTTGCTTTTAAAGAAGAGTGAAAGAAAGCGGAAATTTTCGGCAATAAGAGCAGCCATTTTAATAGGGTTCAATTGGAGCTTTTAGTATTTTGATGCAGAAGAGATGTCTATAGACATTCTTGGTCTTCTCACTTCTTCATTTACTGTAAAAACAGAACCATCACTAGCAATTGTAGATTTAAAAATGTATGCTTGTCAAAGATCACTACGCATCCACATATATTTCAACTATATATATTTTAATAAGTAAACTAAACAGCCTATGAACCTTGTATTATAAAATAAAGTATCTAGTTTACAATTCCTGCAGGTAATATCTTTCAGCACAGCTTTTCTCACATATTAATTATACTAAAAATAGGTAAAATTTTACAAAATAAATTTGTAAATATTAATTATATAAGAATTTAGTGTACAACTTCAGTGTACAATATGCACTCTATTTTAAATGGTTATACATTTTATTACATATAGTCCCACTAAAAGTATTTATTCCCCATTCATATACTGAGAATGTATAACAACAACAACAACAACAACAACAACAACAATAGCAACTTTCATCTGTTCTTCCATTCCCTCCTGCTATCTCTCAGCTGGCTGCTTGTCTACCTTCATTTTCCATCTTATAAAACAAAAGTCAAGTGTGCCTTACCTTTTCCATGAATTTGCTGCTATTTATATAATGACCCTGGAATTATCTGAAGTTTTCAATGAAGAAATACCGTTTTTGTGGGTTGAAGAAGCAGTGCTTTTAAACTTGAATTCTGACCTGTTCTGCTACGTGATGCTGAGACACTCATTTTTTCATGACCTTACAACTCTGATATCAGCATTAAATTGTTAACTGAATTTGCTGTATTAGTGTGAATAATCTGGGCTGAGTTTATAACATTTGATGAATTACAGGAAGTAAATAGTTACTGCCTGACTAACTTGAATCAAGGGGAGTAACAAGGACATCTTGAATTTATCATCTTTGGTGACATGGCTCGGTGGCTAATGTCTACAGTCACTGTCCCTCTTCTTTGTAATGTGTATAAGGTATCACTAAATGTTCTTTATTGACAGCATGAGTAATGAGGTATTTTTATGGAAGAAAAAAAAAATCAAGGGAAGGAATCATAGCTTGTGACTTCTATGTATAACACAAAATTTATTCCTTGTATTTCAGATCTTAAAATTGCAAACTGGTGAAAAGTAACTGCTTAGAATGGGCAGTTTGATTATATCTTAGCTCAGGGAAAATATGCTGTTCCTTCCTTCTTCCTTCCTTCCTTCCTTCCTTCCCACTGATGAAACTTTTGGGGGGAAGAGTAGAGTTATTATATTAAATTTTTAACCAAATGAAATTGATAAGATTTTTCACTACTTTTCTCTCTACTCCCAAGTGACAAGAAGAATGGTAACATCCCGTAGTGGTGTTTTCTTTTTTTAGTCGGGAAGTACCAGATAGGAAGGTGCCAAGTACAAGGAAGAGTCAATGGAGGGGAGTTCATGCCAAAAAGATTTTATCAACAGAAATCACAAGCCCTCAAAGATGGACCCAAGGAAAAAGAAATAACTAAATGGATGTTTCTTTTGCTCAGCAGAGGGAATGTGTAAGAAGCAGGGTAGCTATTGACAAAAGCCACAGTAAGGACACAAAACTAGGCCATCCTCAATTATTATTTTTTATTTATTTATTGGTCAAGCATATATAAGATAACAGGTAAAAGTATAAACATAATTTGAATATATGAAAAGAGTAAGAGTAAAAAATAAAAAGGAATGTTAGGACAGGGACAGTAGGCACACTCGTGTTCTTATGCATGCCCCTTACAGACCTCTTAGGAATGGGGTGAGGTCAACAGTAGACAGTTTAAGGTTAAAGTTTTGGGGGTTTGAGGGAAGAAACCACAAAGTCAGGTAGTGCATTCCAGGCATTGACCACTGTTGCTGAAGTCATATTTTCTGCAATCGAGTTTGGAGCGGTTTACCTTGAGTTTGTATCTATTATTTGCTCGTGTATTGTTGTGGTTGAAGCTGAAGTAGTCATTGACAGGTAGGACATTGTGGCAGATAATTTTATGTACTACACTTAGGTGAGACCGAAGTTGGCGTAGTTCTAAGTTGTCTAAGCCCAAAATTTGAAGTCTGGTGACATAAGGTATTTTATTGCGGGTAGAGGAATGGAGGACCCTTTTCGTAAAATATCTCTGGACTCTCAATTGTATTTATGTCCGATATGCAGTGCGGGTTCCAGACAGATGAGCTGTATTTGAGAATTGGTCTAGCAAATGTTTTGTATTCTCTAGTTAGTAGTATAATATTACCAGAGAAGAAGCTACGCAAGATTAGGTTAACAACTCTTAATGCCTTTTTGGCAATGTTGTTACAGTGGCTTTGGCACTTAGATCTTTAGAAATGAATACTCCAAGGTCCTTGACAGAGTGAGGGTCATCTACAAGGTCCATCTAATTTGTATTTTATGTTTTGATTTTTTTTTTTGCCAATGTGCAAGACAGAGCATTTGTTGTTGAGACTTGAAGTTGTCACTTGTTAGACCAATCTGACACATAGTCAAGGTCTTTTTGAAGGATAATTGCATTGTCGGTGGTGTTGAATAGTTTAACATCCTCAGCAAAGAGAACACAGTTACTTTTAATATGATCTCAAAGGTCATTTATTTAAAGTATGAAGAGTGTTGGACCTAAAACACTGCCTTGGGGAACACCACTATTAAGGTGTGTGTGTGTGTGTGTGTGTGTGTCAGCAAGTCCTCCAAACTGGTAGGGCAGCTAGAGGTAAGTATGATGAATTTAGATTGGTCAAAGGACCCACTACATTCTCTGTCACTAGTGATCAGTAACTGTTCCAGCAGGTTGGATGTCTTTCTATATACATCCTCTTTCTTAGAAAATAAGGTCGACCAGATACATGTATGAAAAGGCAGACTTGGTCAGAAGAAAGAATGGAGATTCTTTCTTCTGAAAGAATGTTGTTAGGGAACAGTGACTCTGAGATGTTTGTTGGAAAGTTAGCTTCAGTTGTTTCTTTTAATTTTTTTAGAAAAATTAACTTTCACTATAAAATAAAATACCGAAAAAACAAAAATTAGAAAATTAAGAGAAAGGAAGGGAAAATGCAAAGGAAGAAGACGACAAAAGTGGTGACTTTTGATTTTTTCCAGTATGGTAAACTACAAAAAGAGAGGTGATTTAGGTTGTATGATCAACCTGCCCCTTTGAAAATGAAATGGTGCAAAATGACAAGTTGTTTCCAAAGGAAATCATCCTAGAGAACAGGGATACCTGTATAAATATTGAAAAATATTTGCCGTTAATATACTCTTCAGTATGGGAGTTATTTTAGCTCTGGCTGTGATTACTGCATCTTGGATACTCTGATGTAATCCTCCAATTCAAACTGGATTTTACATACTTTACTAGTATACTTAATAGAACTGCTTCTATTGTATGGTTTAACTTTTATCTCTTATCCCAGATTTGTAAAAACGTTCCATGTCTTCCTCTTTTCTGCTCCCTAATTTTTAACTATAAAAATATTCTCCTGGTTTGTTTTACTGTTATTTTATACAAAAGCACTGCAAGATACTGAATTGCAAGTACTTATATTCATTCAGCTTATATATCTTCAGCAACATATTCCTAGTGCTTTATTTGCTTGCTCATATATCTACAGGATATAAGACTGACTGGAGTTTCTACCCTTTCCTTCTCCATTGGCAAGCTTTCTGCTTTTTCAAGAGAACCATATTTTTATTTCCTTTTTTAGCATGTTATTTTTAACTGTTCTAGGGCAAGTTCCTGCCTTTTCTAGCTGGAGTCTATTACATTGTTCTCTTTTGAAACAATTACAGTATAGTACACTTAAAGGCACTTAGCCCATAAAATAGTATCTCAGCTTTCTTTCAATTCATCATCTCTTTTGGAAGCAGCAAGGAAACTAAAATAATTTTAAAACAACATTTTCCTATTTTAGATGTCTGTGTATTGGAAAGAATTATGTTCACTGTCTCCAAATGCCTAACTAAAATTGTGACTTGCATCAGCTCAAGAGTGCCTGCTTAGCATTAGCTGAAATTTCCAGAAGAAAAGTTTGATACATACATGCTTTCTTTGGACCCTGGGAAGCTTTCCATACACCACTGCGTATCCATGATCAGCAAGCTCAGTTAAAGCCATCCTGGAGTAATGCTTACATTCAAAACATACACTATTTACTAGGCTTGCTCCTCCATTTAAATATTTAAGTGAATCATCTGTTATGTAAATTATTAAAATATGTAAATATGTATATTACAGACACTTCAAAGTGCACTCTTGCCAAAGAGAAGGAACAATTAAATAAGTTGTAGACCAAAGATAAAACAAGAAAATTTAAGTTTATTACCTATCTACAGAAGGAAAATCTCTTGCTGTTTTATTTTCATTACAAATGCAATGGAGCAGAATCAAACTAGCCTCAAAATAAACTTTCAATCTATCAGGTGTGAACGTTGGCAGGATGAAGCTAAGACAGATGCTTTAGTATGAATGAAAAGGATATGTATAGTGTATCGAGGCATTATGGTGAAGCAATATAGAAGCTTCCATTAGCAAAGAATTATCTGCTTTAGCTATGCAATTTATGGTGATATAGGGTTTGGTTTCCCAACTCATCCTATTACTAGCACCTGGAGCATCTTTTTCACATGCATTAGGACTCCAAAGTGTTAACCCTGCAATAGTACAGGCTGACAAGGAATTCTGGGACTGAAGTCCTAGGAGGTCTGGGGGGCTTTGGGAAGGATAATCTGAAGGATTCTTGTTCATAGTTATAGAGTCAGCCTGAACTGTCTACATTTTCTTTTTCTGAGCAGCAACCCTGATGGAGCAGGAAATATTAAATAATCAGGCTTCTTTCAAATATAGGTACCTCATAATATTGCTCCATTTAATTTGTTATCCTTGATTGAAATTGTTCTTCTACCAGTGTTAGCTAGATAACATCTTCATTTATTATCTAACCATTAAAGACTGTAATCTATTTACTTGTTTATATACCTGCAATCTTGTACTTGAAATTCAGAGTACACAATCATAATAATTAATATAGACAAACTCCTTTCTACACATTAATATATATGCTTAAATCTTGAGCTCAAGGGCTGAACCCAGATCAGTTCTCTTTTAGGCAATACTTTCAACTTTTGTTGCCTTAAATCTCCAATAAATGTGGAGGCTGTAGTTCGGGGGAGTGAAAATAGTAGATCCGTTGTCTGTATCTCTACCCACATCCACATTTGTTCCTTGTTCATTGCAGTGGAATCACTACAATAATTAGTAGGTCATTTAGGACACAAATGCCAAGAAAAGCACATGCCAGGCGTCTCACGTGTCATCCTAGTGCAATAGAACCCCACCCTTAGACTAATGCCTAAAAGTTAGAAACTAGCTAAAATTCAAACCAAAGCAAAACCAAACAAAAATTCTACCCTGTCCATGATTCTAATCTCCAGATTTGAAAATATTTCATTTTCATCATTTTAAAGCTAAACAACATCAACACTGTAATATGGTAAGTAAATGGACGTAACACTTAAAAAAAAAAGCTTTAGTAACTCTTGATGATTTGAAAAAAAAAAAGAATCTGATCTATTTCTGGCATCTGAAAGCTTCTCAAACTAATTTCTGCCTAAAAATAAAGCTAAATACCTTATTAGGGTGCAAAACTTTCTCTTCAGTAGATGGAGATGGTCTTGTATTTTAAACTGGTACACTTATTTCTCTGTTGTTCCTTATGTTTTTACTGTTATTGTAAAAAGTCTTGCTTTTTCTAAAACTGAAATGAAACATGCTGAAAAATAATCTTTTATCACTTACTTTAGGGGGTGACTAAAGCAATGTCCGGGGCTTCTCTAGTGACCATGTGGATTCTGAATTTATTCCAGGTTTATCCGACTGTCTGGCACTTGAGCTGGGCATTGGGATCAGAGGCAAAAATTACTGCTGTCAGAAGACGGGTTAAAAAGAGCGGGTGTGTTGATTTCTAGCAGTTTCCTTTTGTGCTGAAAAGACCTTTTTTTCATTTGAGAGGGGAGGAGAAAGATTTCACTCAGGGTGGAGATTATGCATACAGAGAAGAAGAGGAAAAAAAGAGGCTTGCGTTCATTCTGTTTTTGTGGAGAAAAGTAGGAAAATTATTGGAAAAAATGAAACATTCCACCAGTAAACTAGGATGACTCATAAGCAGAAGGAAAGAATTCCGTCCTTCAGCTGCTTCAGGCTACTCAGTTAAGAAATTGAATATCCTCTGCTTTTCTAAATGTTTAATCAAGAATGGATTTTGAAGTGCCTCTCTCTCTCTCTCTCTCTCTCTCTCTCTCTCTCTCTCTCTCTCTCCCTCCCCCTCCCTGTCTCTCTCTCCCTCTCTCTCTGCCTATCTGTGTAAACAACATTGTTTAGCTACTCCCATAGGAACCAATTATGTTCTCAATCAATTCATTGTGACATTTGGTCACTCAGAATCTACTACATCATGCCACTTTTGAGGCACAACTCCTGTCTCTGACAAGCTAATTAAAACAAAATGCAGCCTTCAGACTGAAGAAGTTGTGAACATTTGTTCTACAGAAGCTATAGCAGATTGTGATAGGAGAAACTGCATACAAATAAAGAGATCGTTAGACTCTGTCCCTGCTTATAGTTGACTGCATTAGACTCACCTCTGACAATGACACCTCTTGTCTTCACAGTTTTGTCTTTATTTCATCCCTACTCAATAAGTGAGATAGTCATAGATCACCATTACATTACATTACAGTACAGAATATTTTCCCCTGAAGCCAATATTATTAAGATGTGCAAAATCTGTAAAGCTTTATTTTGCAGGTGAAGTTGTGGATGACCTGCCCTGGGCGCGACCAGAGACATGTTTTGAGAGTTTTGGAAGACACCATATCCTCTCAGGTCACTGACCATTGTCCACCAATTGCTTTCCATTTGTTTGCCCTCCTGACTTTTTTTTTTTTTTTTACATCTGTCGTCTTCCCATCTCCAAGCTACTTTTACTGACAATGTTCCTCTAATCTTTTTTATCAAAAAATGCTATTTAACTCAAAGGGATTTTTTTTTTGTATGGACAATTTTCTTCCAACCAGTTGAAGTGCTAACATGATGTCAGAACTCATTTTGCCTAATTTAGATAACAACCTTGCATAAAAGGTTAGCAGATTGTTAAGTACTTCATTTTTCAATATTGTTATTGTCAAGGAAAGAAAGAAGCACTTCTAGAGTTGTCTGCTTTAGTGCAGACTATTTTGGGTCTAATGCAATTAAATGATAGATGGTTATATGCAAGAATCTGTAAATGCTATTTGTTACTTTAACTCAGGCAGCAAAATGTTCTAAACTGACTCTGTTTTGACCATTTCCCCACATGTAATCATAAATATCAATTTTCCATTTATAATCATAAAAGCAGATGAGAGACTGATGTAATATATTGTCCAATAATTGCATTTAACTTCTATTTATCATCATCACAGCTTTGCCATTACAGGGTTTTTTTATTTATACAGGAAGAGATTCCTGGTTTCAGTATGATTGCAGACAGCTGGAGTAACAGATAACAACTTAAAAATAAAGTCCCAGAGGTTTGTATTACATTAACTGTCACCACAAAAAGAGAGAGAGAGAGAGAGAGAGAGAGAGAGAGAGAGAGAGAGAGAGAGAGAAGAGAGAGAGAGAGAGAGAGAGAGAGAGAAACAGCCTTAGACAGTGGCTGCCATGTTTATGTGGCTATAACATCGCAGATAGCTAACATCTGCTATGATATTTATGTCAGCAATTAATTAACGAGTCAGGAGTATGTTTAATATCAAGATTAGTCTTGCTATTAGAAAGTTGCTAGAGAGAGTGAAAAGAAATTGCGGTACTGTACACTGGAAATAGAAAAAGAAGAAAAGAAAAGAGATTAAAGTTAAAAGAGATTTTTTTGTATTTGAGCTAATTTTGCAGCACATACATGATATCCCTAATATAGGGTTGATAGATGTTCTTGGAAGTATAAGTTAGGCTTGTGATGAATGCTTTACTTATCTTATTTACTATGCTTATTATCTTTATTTTGTTGAAATAAAATAATTTTAACATGCATTTGTATGATGAAGATATAGCTTCCAATTTCCTTTTTCAGAATTTAAAATTATTTTAGAAAGGGAGGCAGGAAGCATTGCCAGCCGATGTTGGAGTTCAGACACTAACCCATAAAACAATTTATGAACAGATAAAATAGATACCAGAACTTGAGTATTACCCCTGTTTGGTAATATATATATATGTTTGTAAAGTCTATGTGTGCATATTGGACATTCTGTAAAGTGAAGGACATGACTCATTATAGCCAGCTTTTATTTTTAAAGGTCTAAAAAACTTCTGGTGTTCTTCTCTTTTGGGGGGGGGTGATTACCTTCTCTTGCAAATAGAGAATGGTTATGATAAGCTTCTGCATATTCAAAACCTAATGCATTTACTAAAGTGATCATCAAAATTAAATGTCCGTGCAATGGGTGATTACATTCTCTTGTTGATTCAACCCCTTTGCAAAACTTGTTATACTGTACAGTAATTCATGGGTTCATTAGAAACACAATGGATACGCGCCTCTGTGTAGTTTCCATCTGTCGGGATGGGAACTACAATAGGAATGAAAGGAAAGTAAAAGATAGCACTCTTTAAAAAAATGAACCCTAGGGGTTATATACTGGATTTTATGGATTTTATATTTAAGTTAAACTGATGGATACCACAGGTAGTCCTTGACTTTTGACCCAAAATTTCTGTTGCTAAGTGAGACAGTTGTTAAGTGAGTTTTGCCCCACTTTATGACTTTTCTTGCCACCGTTGTTAAGTGAATAACTGCAGTTAAGTTAGTAACACAGTTGTTAAGTGAATCTGGCTTCTCCATTGACTTTGCTTGTCAGAAGGTCCCAAAGATCACATGACCCCAGGACACTGCAATCGTCATAAATATGAGTCAGTTGCCAAGTGTTTGAATGTTGGTCATGTGACCATGGGGATGCCACAATGGTCAGTAAGTGTCAAAAACGGTCAAAAGTCACTTTTTTCAGTGCCATTGTAATTTCGAACAGACACTAAACAAACTGTTGTAAGATAAGGATTACATGTATCTCTAAGAGAGATTGGTTTCCTTCAGTGTTTTTTCCCTCTCTTACATAATTACAAAGCTGGCATGGCAATCATAATGAAGGTGATGATTAATTTCCAACCTGGCGCATAGAATTGCCAAGACTCAGACATGTCTGAATGGATAACATCATCACCTTCTTCATCATCATCCAAATAATCAACATTTTCTTTATGGATGACAGGTATAATTGCATACAAAATTTGGTTCCTCTTGCTTAGGAAAAAAGGTACAGCCAGAAGATACAGAATTATTTTCACTTGGTAGAAAATATTAATAAGAACAACTAACCATTAACAAAATTTAATATGATACTTTAGTATTATGATCCAATTAGTAAGCAAAAGTTCTAAATGCACAACAATAATATCCTTAATACTGTATAGAATGTAATAAAAATGTTTGTTTATGCCAGGTTTTATATTTTTTCTTCCAATGCTTTAAACTGTGGTTGGGTACTTAATGATTAATTGACATCAACAAAACTTCTCATTTGAGGATATTACTTACTAAGAAAAAAGTGGTTCTGTGTATTAACTAAATAAGCAAACCACTTGGAATACATTTTAATACTTTAATTTGTGCTATTAAATAAATAAACAAATAAACTTGGAGTACACTTTCATACTTTAATTTATTTTGCCTAATGTACATATTCTATAAGTTAGACCGTTTGAGGTACCTTGATTCAAAAATTGTTGACCAATGATGCAACATTTTGCCCAGTTAAAAGTCATGACAATGAGAATTTGGGTATGTAGATAGATTTATCTTTTATTGCAAAGAACTGTACTGGAAAGCATAGTATCTGTGTTTGTTTCCTTGCCTGCATATTATTGGCTTATGGTAAGATGCATGTTGTTGGTTGCTGAGTGTGCATTGAATGTTGAATGGGCATGAATTCATCTAAACATTTCCTGTGCCTTTGAGCATTCCTGTAATACCTGCTGAACCTGTACAAATATTATTATGAAGATCACAGCCTGTAGCATTTTAGGAGAAAGGAGCATATACAATACACTTAAACAAAAGTCAGGAAAAACAGAGTCTTGTGGGCCTACTATAGCTTCAACCACTATTTATCAGTGATAAATATTTATAAATATTCTCTCAAAACAAATTTCCCATCATCGCATTGATCAAAAGTAGGTCTTTTGAAGATCACCTGGAAAGCCTTAGCTGCCCATAATGAGGAGGCTTCTGTGCTTAAATAGCAGGCTTTGTATTGTTACATCATCAAACTTTTGGGAACGTTGCACATTTACTATATGTTGTGGAGTGCAATTCAAGGTGCTGATGTAATCTATAAAATCTTAGATGGTGCTTAGATGGCTCTATCCCTTTCCAGGGATACCTGTTGAAGGTTCCCTCCTGTTGTGTGAGTTATTTCCTTTTTGATATATTACATTGTTTATGTACACTAGTATTTGTACAGTATTAATTAAAATATTCTATTGTTTAGATAACTTAGAGTATTGGAAATAGAGAAAAGGGAAGGTATATTGTAACAGTATTAATTTAGCATATCGATATCACAAGCCTAAAATTATTTGACTTTTCATACAAAATTAAGTATGATGTTGAAATGAAAAAAACCCTGCAAATTATTTCAAAATGTTCGAGACACAATGTAGGTTTTGGTTCTGGAGATGATTACTTAGTATTGAAGGCATTTCTTACTGGTTTATAACGCCCTCTAGTGTCTTTGAAATATGTTTCTGTATTTGCGTAATTTATGCTTACTCATGAACATTTTTTATGAGATATGAAGTTATATATATATTTGCTTTAAGAAATGTTTGACAGTATTAAA